GTTGTCTTTTTTCATATGAATTAGCCCAAGCTGCATATGTGTGCAGAAAAGAGTCTGGCTGTTAGCCGTGCCACTCTGTGGTGGCCTGACCTGCTCCTCTCCTGCGCTTGGACTCTGGAACCATCTGTTCCCAGTGAGCCAGCCGATGAGGGCACAGGATCATTCTCAGTACTATTCTTTCTGAGCTTGTTGCAGCAACTTGACACGACTGGATATGTGACAAATAAGGAGTAGCTGAGTTGTTTTAAATTAAGTAAAAGTAGATTCTGAACATACCTTACTCTGTACGGAAAGTCAGTGAGTGGGGTTGCTCCAGTTAGCTCTGCAGCCTCAATGAAGTGTCTCTCAAACTGCCCTTATCGAGATGTCCAAGGATACATTACCTATTTTAAAAATATTATGTCCATATTCTAGTCCTTCCTTCTCCTTTTTAAGAGCTTCAACACTAAAAATTATAACTGAGGAGAACAAGAAGGGCTTGAAAATTCACAGGTAAAGTTGATCTGCAAGATTGCTGACATACTTTCTAGCACGGAATAGTTTTAATGAGGCTTACCCTATTTGTACAGACCAAATATCCAAAATTTTTAAGATGGATCAGTTTGCTTCTCTTTATTGGAAATTAACACACCTCCCAAATTAGGTCACTAGAAGTATTCTTTCCTTATGTATTAATTTTTAAAAAATATCTCTGCACAAAGAAGTGCTGAAAACTAAAAGAGCACACCACAAAATAAAAAAACTGTGCACTGAGGGAATGATGTTACTAATGAAGATGTTTAAAGAGTGTATGTATTTGCCAGAATCTAAATCTGTAATTAGTCCTCCCTTTTGTAATACTGACATGTTTGTTGTGCATGTTGATAAAGTCTATAGCCTACAGCTTCTATTACAGGGTAAAAATAGTACTTTGAAGTGCAATATGTTATGCATAGTACCGTACCTGGTTATAAGAGAATGCTAAAACTACTTTTCAAAAATTTACATACACCTATTGACTGACAGGGACACGCACAGTCCAAATCTAACACCATCATCTGACATGGGTGTATGCCCACACAGTTACTGACCAGTAAATTAAAGCTCTCTTCATCCTCTTTGGCAGAATTTCAGAAGGAGAAGGGAATCCACATCTAGCAGATAATATTGCAGATACTAACACTGGAATGAGTCAATGACTAGAACACTCCCCATTCTGCTAACCAGTTATTGCCAGACTTGTGGAGTCCTGAATTTTGGCTGCCTGTGTCAGTGTATGCAGTCACTGATAAGGAAGTCTGAAGTTAGAAGGATTTGTTAATCCCATTCTCTAGGTCTGTAATTTGTCTTAAAGCTTTGCTTCTGACACAGTTTTACAGAAATCATGGGTCACAGAACTTAATACACTAAAAAGAAGCTGTGTACACCAAATAATTCTGCATTAGCAGTTTCAATAGGTAATGGTATTGTTCAGTCCTGAAATGTGATAAAAAGCACTGTGCCCTGGACAGGCAGAATAAGCCAAATCAAAAGACTTTGCTGGTTGCCTGACAATAAGCTGAACAAGTAAAATTGGTGTATTAAACTATGCAGAGGAGTATTGCAGACTTTTGCAGAAAAGTCTTGTTGGATTTTAAAGGTAAAGTCACTTTTTCTTGGCCTGAAAGTCCTACACATAATAGTTCAGTCTCCAGTTCCAATAAAAATGAGTAGAAATCTTCAAGATACTTAGTCTTTTCCTCCATACTCCTTCTCTAAGTCTGAAAGGGTAAGATGCCAACAGCATGCAGAATATTTTTTTATATACATAAGTGAATTTCTGACATGACTTTTCCACTGATTAAAAGGAAGGCTTGTCTGTATTATACCTTGAAAGCTGATAATGATCTTGTTCCATTTTACCTTGAAATACCTGTTCCCAAAAGTTCTGCAATGCTGAACTTTCCAAAATTTATGTTTAATGGTCACATTTCCTCCAGCAAAATATTTCATTTAAGTGTTGGAGCTAGCAATCACAACTGCTGTGTTTCATTACCATGTCCTCCTTTTTAATTGCTCTGTAACTGGAGCATCCTGTGGCCCTATATATCCTAATTCTTCAAAACTTTCTAGACAAGTATCGCCAGAAAAGTCAGCTAACCTCTCTGTTCCTGGCTCCCCAGCCAGTACAATAGAAGTAATGCTTCCTTTTTCGTTATTATTTTTCATGCTTTGTCTGTCTCAGCTCCCTTTTAAGCTCTTTGTGAATTACACAGTGACCCACAAGGACAGTGGAGAGCTGTAGTTGGAGGAAGTAGTATCATCGTACTTTAGACCAGGAGGCTGTGTAAACACCTACTTCCTTCCATTTGCTCTGTAGAGAAGCGAAGCCAAAGCTCTCACTGTGTGTTGAAAAGCATAACGGCAGCTCAGTTTCATAATGGAAGCTTCTAAGAGAGAACGTAAAACGAATGACTCATGATAACAAGTCTTTGAACCAAGGCCTCTCGCATAGCATTGCCATTCCTTTAAGTTTATTTCCATCCATTCTTATCTTCTCTTGCCTTCTCATCAGTTTATCTGCTCCCCCAATTCCTGAAAGGAATTTTGTTATTTCCAGCAAGCAGCTTGCAGCCTGGTGCCTGTAGTGACTAAGTAGATCCCCAGATACCTTTCCCTCCCTGTTGCATTTTTGAAATGTATAAGGCATGGAGGGAATAGAATTTCCCAGACTACTTCAGCAAATTGTTACCACGTAATTGAGTTAGTTAAATTCAAATTACCAGTTTTAGCAGAATGAGTCCCAGGAGCAAAAGCCCTCTTCTTATCAGTGGATCGTGTGGATCATTCACAGCAGCGCAAAAACCTTTTCCAACATAGTCGGCCAGTGTGTGACTCAGTGCTCGCTTAAAGGGAGTATCCCTTTCATTTGGTGCCATTTGCAATCTAACTGAATGTTTATTATCTTTCTATTTCTTTCAAAGTCATGCTTGATTTTACTTTTGCTCCTTTGTATTTACCTCACATCTCTGGATCAAAGCAATAAAGCTATGTGCCCCACCATATTGCTGCTAGACAGCAAGGCCAGGTGATGGCCTCTCCTCGCACAGCCATTCAGCATGATCGTAGTTGCCAAAAGTTCAGGGATTTTGAGAGTAACGTACTGTGACAAAACGAAATACTGCATCAGCTGAAGTGTCTTTGGTAAGGGAAATTCCACACTTATCTTTTAACAGTATTTTTAGTCTGTGTGCCTCAGAAACTATTTTTGCTATGCGCTAGAAGGGCTGTAACGTGTACGTTTCTGTCAGCATAACCATAAACATATGAAAGGGTGACATGCCTCGAATGTGACATGTATAGGTAAAATTAAATTCTAAAGTGATGTCTATAGTAGGCCATGTTGAGGAATCTGAATATTGATTCTGTGATATATAATTCCATGAGAGAATAAATAAACTCATAAATAGGTATATTGTTAAGAGCATGACCTAAAGTAAAACTATAATTACAATGCGTTATTATTTAATCTGAATATATACTTCCCAGGGGGAAAAAACAGAACAACTGCATTGACAGTATGTAAAACGCTACATTCATTTTACAGTCATAAGCCACAGGAAAGTTCAAAGCCGTACCTTACTGGCTTGTCATTAATAAAATTTTAAGCCATTGTAATTTCCAGTGGGTAAAGTAAGTATGCAAAATAAACACCCTGAAACTATCTAAAGGAACATATCCCTCTCTGTTTGTGATGGATGCTAAGAAGGGGTTATATTAAATGTTATTTCAAACAATGAAGCTGGAATGTGATACTGCGTGCAGCCTTTTGGCCAGGAGAGCTGTGGGAGTCCAAAATAATGATGCCTAGGTTTATAATTCCAGCATTCCATAATTCAGAGTTTGTTCAGTTGTAAAAATAATTATACCCTAAAATTGTAAGTGTTTTTACTTCCCTGGAAATCAGTAACTTCTTTAGAGCCAAACTTCAAGCAGCAAGTGTGTGTTTGGCTTTTCAAGAGTTTTTAAATCATTTTCATAATTCATTTTCAAGTTGTACTTGGGTTACTGCAAAGCATAGAAAATGTTGATTGAAAGCCGGGCAAACAGTGGCTTCCTTTGGGTCTGAAGGAAGCAGAAAGCGTGAGGAGCAGTGTCTGAGCTGCTGTGATAGAACAACAGAAGCCATCTGACATTTTCCTCTCTGGCCGAGCAGCTTCTGGTGGCTTCAGCTCTTTTCTCCTTAGATGCCAGCAGCTTCTCTGGGAAGCTGGGAATCAGCTGATCACAGTGTATTTTTTCCTCTTCCTTGTCTCACGCTGTGGGCCCGGCCGCGATGGCAGTGGCAGCCATGTCACCATTCATCCCTGCAGCCTCTCACCCAGCGATGGGGCTAGGTTGCTGCTCTCACCTACCAGCTCGGTGGCATCCATGTCCCCTCCTGCCCGCTAGCACCCCTTGGAGGATTTCCACAGCACATAAATATCCATGTGAATTTGGCCCCGTAACTGACATCGATTATCTTTACGTGTTAATGTACAAATGTTGCTAAAACTCTGAGAACATGCGTCTGTTGGTGGCTCATCTTGGATCAAGAACTGGTTTGATGCAGGTAAATGCTAAAGGACATTTGTGTGTGTGGAAATTTTACAGGGATCTTTCCTCCGATATTTTGGCATAGTTACTGTCCCAAATATTCGAAATATAACTACAAATGGAATAATGGAAAAAAAGTCCTTTTTTTTTTTTTTTGACTGTTTAAAAAGGATTAATTCAACTTCCAGGTGAAGATTTGAGTCAGGTCTTACCTTATCCATCCAAACACAACAGTTTGTTTTTCTGGAGTATTTAGTTTTGTCTGGGAGTGCACTAAAGTGACAGTTTTACTTAGCAGAGATTATCTTACAGCCCTGAGGAAAGGAAGCAGTCAACCTTAACTTCAGTATCTTTAAGATTTAGCTGGAAATGTTTGTCAGAGGAGCACTAGCAAATATCTTTGACTAAATCTCTTCTCACCAACATATTCCTTCCTGCACAGAAACATGAGCTCTGCCGGCCCAGAAGGAAGGAAAAAGATGAGAGAATGCAACGGCTTGATTGACTCTCTTGTGTATTATATTCAAGGAGCTATTGCAGACCATGAACCTAATGACAAGGTATTCTTTGAAACGAAAGGTCTTTTCCTAGGGGAAATTGCTAGGAGAACACGTTTTTTTTTTTTAGAAACCAGTGTTCAGAAACAGTTGTGATGTAACTGCCAAACTTACCATTCTTTCCAGGGCTTTTAGAACTGTCACCAAAGATGAAAGTCCAGTAAGAAGCTTTCTGAAGTGTTTTTTTTTGTCCTGCAATCTAAAAGAATAACATGCCTTAGCATTGGGAAAACATTTTCTGAATCACCAGAAAGAGCTAGAAACCGTTGTGGGTTTTTTTAAATATGTCATAAAAATCTCTTTCAGCAATACTGAAATACCCTCAGAGTCAGATATTACCTTTTTAGTTGTTTCAGAGAGCTAGCTAGCTAGAAGCTTAAAATATTAATCTGGTTACTTTCATGTATATTCAGTGCTATACACCCCTTAGGAAATGAAGAATCTAAATTTCTTTAGGTGGCAGTGTAATTAAGGAGCTTGCTTCATTTACCATGAGATTGATTTTCCTAAGTTTTTTAGAAGTTATACATTCTGCCTAAGCACGTAACTGCAAGGACATTGACACCTCCAGAAGCCAGTTCTTCTCGTTCTCTTCCTCCCACCATTGACTGCAGATGAACCCTGAACACTGCTTAGACTAGCTGTTTGTCTTTAGCTGGGTGAAGTTGGGTGAGAAGACCAGCTGTCAGTTATGAGATGGTTAGCTGCAGCCTGTGAGGCACTTCTAGTGTGCCTGCTATAACTTGTGCTGTGTAGTGGTAATTACTGCACATTTATAGCTCTATTCTAGGATGTTACTTGAGCTTCTCCATCTCCCTGTATTCAGTGCCATTAGCTTCAGGGAGAACCCAGCGCATCACACTTGTGCCAATAGCTTCCTGCTGCATTTTGTCTTAAAACCACTCATTCCCTTTTGACTTTCAAAAAAGGAGGAGCTAGTAATAAACTATTTGCCACTAAACTCATCACTCAGACATTGTAGACCTGACCTTATCCATGCCCAGAAAGGCACATCTAATTTAGAAAAGTGTTCTACTACAGAAAAGTGCTTCCTCCTTAGCAAAGATACAAAGGTTTCCTTTTGCTGACACTACAGTGAGGTGTATACGTGATCACCTTTACTCTTAAGCTCTTAAACATTCCTTGGCACACTTCTGGTCTGTGCCAAATAGCACTCGCCCAAACAATTCTCAGGCACAATTCAGGAATTATAATGTCCCAGGACCATTTCCAACAGGCAAGCACCCCACTCCAAATGCAAGCCCTGTGTGCCAGTTGGCCTCAGTGCTCAGGAACATCCCAGGGCATGTTTAATTTATCAGTGTGAATGCAGTCTTGTGGATCACTGGCATGAGGACTAGCTCTTCTGTAAGCCATTAGAAGCTCTGCAGTTAGTTGCTGAAGATCCAAAAATGAAAGCTCTTCCCATGTCTATACATGTCCCTTCAACACATGCCAAAGCTTTCAAGATTTCTATTCCTGTGTTATTTTAGGCCACAGAGAACTGTGTGTGCATTCTTCACAATCTTTCCTACCAGCTAGAGATGGAGCTCCCTGAGAGCTATGCCCAGAGCATATATATGCAAAGAAGAAATATGTCTAGCAATGATAAAACACCGGGCTGTTTTGGAACACGGAGCAGAAAAGTAAAAGAGGTAAAGCACATGTTTAGTTACATGTCATTTTGTTAATCAGTTGTAGCAACTTCTGGAGAATAAGGCTGTAATCTAACAATCTGTTGTTGATGTATCTGGTAGTATGACACTTACTTGGCCCAAAAATGCAAATTTATTGATAGTCTTTCCTAATATGCATTATTTTGTTCAGCTGCTGATGGTGAAAATTATATAGCGATTTACTGTTTCATTAGTTGAGGAACATTGCCACTCCCTTTCATCCCCTCTGATGGATCTAAGTGGCATCTGTACCGTGTACGGCAATTGTGCAAGTGCCCTACTGATGAGTGGGCATTGTGATGGTTTCACCAATGAAACCAGCACAAGGTGTCTTGCCACTTCCATGACTTGCTGGCTTTTGGGCTATCTCAAGACCTCTTTTTTTGATGCCGTGTGGTACAGATCACAAATATTCTGGCAACTGGGAATTGCTGGAGAGAAAACAGATATCAGGGGAGGGGTAAAGCAAAAGAAAAGGATTGATGACCCTTCCCCATTTATTAGTTTTGCTGGAGTGTATTCTGCCTTCTCCCATTCCATCCACATTCCATCCTGCTGGCCATTTCTGTTTCTCCTTGGCCTTGGCCCCTACTGTCCGTAGCTGAGAGGTGAGAAGCTTCTTCCCCCATACTTATGTCCTCTTTTTGGATGGAGCAGACAGTATAATTAAATATTGAAATTTTACACAATGTCATTTGAGTTCACAACTTGTTAATCTGCAAATAACCTGGTCATAGAGAGTTACGAAATGGCTAGTTTAGCTTGTGATGTGTTAAGTTATATAAGGTCACTGTTTCTAAAGGCTTGATCTGTTTACATGTTTAGAAGCAGCAGGACACCCCGCTACCTGAGGAAAAGAGCAATCCCAGAGGTGTCGAATCGCTCTGGCATTCCACACTGATTAGGATATATCTCTCCTTAATAGCAAAGAGTACCAGAAACTATACCCAGGAAGCATCCCTGGGAGCTCTTCAGAACCTCACAGCTGGCACTGGACCAGTAAGTCAGCTTTTTTCTTTTTCTTGTTGTTTAGTTCTTAATGTGAATGCGTTGAGTTTAGGTCTGAGTGAGTGCAACAGTTCACAGCATTGAGATCAGGTAACCACTGTCAAGTCACTGTCTCACAGACATGATCAAGGAAATCGAAGAACATTGAAGGGAAAATCATAACTGGCAGTGCAGCTGTTTCTTGCTTGGCAAATATGGGGACTGCTTCTTCACCAAAAGGGTTGTCAAGCACTGGAACAGGCTGCCCAGGGAAGTGGTTGAGTCACCGTCCCCAGAGGTATTTAAAATATGTGCAGATGTGGTGCTTAGGGACATGCTTTAGTGGTGGACTTGGCTGTGCTAGGTTTATGGTTGGACTTGATGATCTTAAAGGTCTTTTCCAACCAAAATGGTTCTGTGATTCTCACTCTTTGTACATCTCTATGTGTGGAATTTTGCCTATTCATTGCACAATGAGGGATAAGTAGACGCTAAAAGCACAAAAAATAGAAGTGGTTTTGTGGAACATAATCAGTTCCCTGGGGAGAGTAAGGCTCTAACACAACCACACATCACTTTCATGGTGAAGAAACTAATGACCTCTGTCATGTCTTGGCTGAGGAGCTGGTCAAAGAGCACGTGGGAGAAAGAGGGCTCGGAACTTCTTTTATGTCACCTTTCTTTTCTGTTGCAGCTCATATGTAGCTCTGGATTTAAACTATTTTAAATGTGCTTAAATTGATGTAGAGAAGCTGCTGTGGTTGTTTATGAGGCTGTACATTCATGGTAATGACACACTACTGCCACATGCCTTATAACAGATGCCGTTTGCGGTGGCCCGGACTGTTGTTCAGAAGGCAAATGGCCTCCCAAGTATTCGAACTATGCTGCATGTAAGCCACCCAACAGTAAAGAAGACAGCAGTCTCACTGCTCAGGAACCTATCTCGCAACACCTCTCTGCAAAGTGATATAGGTGAGCAAAGACTAACATTGTCTCTTGGGCTTTCTTTCTCTGTTCTCTTTATGTGAAACTTTCCTTCTTTAAATAAAAAAAAAAGTGGGGTTTTAGGTCAGATACTTCCAGTCATTTTACAGGGTTGAAAATAAAGAGTTTCGCCTAAGAAACACTCTAACCTCAAGTTTTCTCTAAATTGTTTATTCATCATCAGATACTTCCATTGATGTTACTTTCAGAAAATACATAATGGAAGTAAAATCTACACAGATTTGGAGAGGGAGTTTTTCTTCTGCTTATAATAGGGTAAAGGAAGGTGAGTGCTGAGTTCTGTGCTGCCACAGCTTTGTAATCCTCTGGGAGAAATCATAGAACATCTCCAGTTCTTCTGGCAAAAATAATATTTTGTTTTTTAGACACAAAACTTTGGAAGCTTGCAGCTCACACAGTTTTCCTGCGTAGGTTTTTTGAGAATGGAAGCTAGAAGATGCTATAGAGAAAATAGTTCAAACTTTTTGGATGACCTTATTCCTCAAATGCTATAATTATTTTCACATCAGAAGCCATTTCTATTCCAGAATTTTTTTTCAATTCAATGTGTATTTGAAATTTTTGCCTACTGATAGGACAAAATAAATTCACATAATTTGTTGTCTATTCTGTGTTCCCACCTGAGGAGGAAGGGGAGATTACAGGCATACAGCTGGTTCATGGGGCAGATAAACGTCCAGAATTCTGCAGAACAGTCTCCTGGGCACTGTTTAATCCTTAGAGAACATTTCCTATTAATGGAAATATCATCATATGTTGTTGGGCTGATTTCACAGGGATAATCCATATGGTGTTAAAAATTACAAGTGGTGAATCTTCCAGAAAGAGTAGGAATTAACCCGAGAAGAAGAAATTGGGATTTCATCAGGAAAATAATTTATGAAAGAATGCGGGAAAGACAGAATAGCACGAAGCTTTGGAGAGATGTGCTTCATCTTGCACGTTCACAGTCATTTTCTTGCTTTATCCATGGTAGGAAGCACTGGGAGAATTTCAGGTGAACCTTTTCTCCATGAAAAGGTGTGAATTCAGGTCAAATTCTCCAAATAATTTTGGCCAAAGGAAAACATTTGAAAGAGCACACTGTTTCCTAGATAAAGTGTCTGTATTTATGAAGCAAAATGAACCTTTGATATGAAATTGAGATTAATTTAATATAAAACATCTCTAAACGTTAAATGATTGAAAAACATCAGAAAATTTCCTATTTTACTTGAAAAAATAACATGCGTTCTGAACAGATGTTTTCAAGACACTGCCAAATGTATACTTTCTAAAAATCCCTTTCCTTGATTTACCAATGGAAGAAAAAATGGGCTATCATGTCTGACATAATTGCTTTGACTGATACTTAGCATAACAGGTGGTTCATCCAGTTTTAAGGGTCCTTTCCTAAATTGCATGTAATTTAATTTCAGTGTACATGAACCTTGTCACCACCCCATCTGGAGGAACGAACAGAACTCACAGAGAGCAAAGCGCTCTGTCCAAGTGAAACACTGGTTTATGGAGGGAAGAATGGCCCAAAATGCCCAGTGCTCCTTCTTACAGTGGGAGCAGCTGGCTATGACCTATTGCTTTAATTTTCTCCATCCACACGGCACAGATCTCACAGTATACAGTAGGACTCAGTCACTGTCCAGAGCTGCTGTTTGCTGTTTGGTTGGCTGGTAGGGTCACATCCAGTGTGGTGTTTCTTGAGGAGAGACAGATTTCAGAACAGGACATTCTTCTTAACACACCAGCTCAGAAGGTTGAGTGCGTGCATCCCCTTATAGCCAACCATTGACAAGTTCAGCAGTAAAAAATTGTGCTGTAGTCCCCCTTTCTCGGTGTGCTGTATATCACTATACCCATGATTACCTATAGGACACACAGGGTTCCTCAGGAAGTGGCAGCCTGCTGCTAGCACGTGCCTAGGGACCTCACTACAAATTGTGAGGATGTAATGTAGGTTTGAAACCATGACTCTGTTGTGGGAGCACACAGCACCCTGGTAGGTGATAATGGGAGGAGTAAGGTCTTGCGGGACCCCTAGATAAATAATGCACCTGTTAGTAATGGAGTTGCTTGTCTCTCTTCCAACTTGTAGCTAGAGAAGTTTTGCCTGATTTGGTCTCGATACTTCCTGAGTCTGTCCCAGGGTCTGATATTGTTTGTGAAACCACAGCGTCGATCTGCTACACCTTGTACAATTTGACCCAGAGCAGTTCTCACAACGCACGGCTTCTCCTGAGTGCTGATGGCCTACCGAAGATTATTACCATCAGCATGAATGACGGGTAAGATGGCTGAGAAGCCTTCCTCACCCCCTCCTTTCCCTGGGGAAAAAAAGAAACTGCAAGCTCTGCCAGCTGGGGGAAAAAAACACTGCATCTTAAGGTATAGGACAGCTTAAACAAGTGACTCTGATCTGAATTGAATTGCACATATTGGGAAACACAGAAAAATCTCATATAACAATTTTTCCATCCACAGCTAAATTTGCCATGTTCCAGCATTTTAAATAGTTCCTCGGAAGATGACAGCACGATATTATCTGTATTTTAATATATGTATTGGCTGACCATCAGATCTTATCTATCCCCGAAAAGTTTCTATAGTTCCTGTTCTTTGTAACGCAGCCCTGATAATCTCTAGCAGAAAAGTGCAGAGATAGATACATTTTATAGAGCTGATAGAACTGTACTTAAAAATTATTTATAAAGGGGCATTTCAGATAATAGATGTTGAATTTCCTTTAATCATTATTTAATATGTAATCACATGGAACCAATGTTTACTCAAAAGAGAATACTTAATGCTTTGTGAATATGAATTATTATTCTGTTTGCCTTCCTCTCTCTTTACAAAATGAAAGAGGAAATTCATCTCAGTAAAGGAGGCCTCATGAGGCTTTGAATACATTATATCCTATCTAACTAGGAGATTTTAAAACCAGAGATTTTACCTGCTGGAAAGATCCTTTCAAATGCTTGTTATGTTGAGGTATATTTTCCTGAACTGAATATGAACAGTATGATAACTGCCTTAAGATGAAGGCTATAGAGTACTTCATTTCTCTCTAATTTTGAAGAATGAGTGACGCAGGGAGGTATGTTGCATTTGTTTCAGTAGTCAGGACAGCATGAAATATGCTAGAATACCCAAAGAGCAGTAAAACAGCATTTAGGAGGAGAGAGAGAGAGAGAGAGAAAAAAAATACTATGAGGTTACATTTGCTGAAGTTTGCACATGCACTGTGATTATGAAGTAGGAATTTAAACATATTTTATGTTTTTCTTTTTTTTTTCCCCCACAAAATTGCAGTAGTATGTTCAGCAAAGCTAGTAGGGCTGCTTCAGTCCTCCTCTACTCCTTGTGGTCACATACCGATCTCCACAGTGCTTACAAAAAGGTAAGATCTGAGTTCGAGCAAAGACATGTAATCTGTCCTTTTGGACCGAGAACCCTCTCATTTGTCCTCTGGGGCCCTTAGCACTGCTGTACTGTTAAGAAACAACCTACAATAGGATTTCAAGCGGGCTCTGAATTTGATGTTTCTATTACTTGTACTTAATCCTGCAGAAGTAATGCATGCCATTAATTTTTGCTCATCTGTGTTCATATTCTCTCCCTCTGCGGTTTTATATCCACTGGCAACAATTTATGAAAAACATTGCTGCTGCCTGCCAGAAGTCTGAGGTGGTGAGAAGGGATGCGCAGTAGGCGTCTGTCCACCACTGACCGAACCAAGCTGACACAGAGGCCCTCAGGTGCCAGCAAAAGCAAGGGCAGGGCAAGGCAGCTTCCTGCTCTAAAGCCAGAGCAGTTTTGTTCTCCTTGTTGTTTGTATGGTCTGCAAGCCCAGGTGTTAGTTATATTCAAATGAAAAGGTAGGGCCTGGGAAAGGTGTTGGCAAATGTTTACTGCCACAGTCAAAATAAAACAAAAAATGACCAGCATGAATCAGCCAACTGAACAGTTTGTTCCTTTCCTTTTGAAGTTCTGTGACTGCTTTTTCAGCACACAGCTTGGTTGACTTCAACCTACCTACCTTCAACCTGCATTTCAAACTGTTTTCATTCCTTGTTTTCTTGCTGTTCAGAATTTCTGTCACCTAAAATTACCTATAACCTAAAACTATTGCATTTTTAAAATCTCTAGCCTTTAGCATTTATTAGTCAGCTTGTTTCTTCTTGTAGCTTTTTTGCTGAAATTTGCTCAAAAAGTTTCTTAGTGTAGTATCCTTTGACAGCCTTACGTCACACTCAGCAGTACACTGCCTCAGAAACCAGAAATCTGCGTTGAAGAATAAGGGTGTTGTACCCACATAAACTCTAACCAGATTTTGATGTCTCTGGTTTTTTGCAACTACATTCCTGACTTTACTGTACAGCAGTATCCCTGATGGCATGAATTTTCTGAAGTCACTGGTACTTTGGGTATGCCTATAAGACACATTTGTCAGGTCTGAGTTTCAAAAAATGCTGATTACTTGCTGTTCCTGTGCAAATTGGGTCCTCTGCAGACATCAGGTACAACACTGAAAACTGCAGGCCACCTAATGCCTAGACATTTTTGAAAAGACAGTCTAACAAGCCAGAGAAATCACTTGCTCAAACAAAACTGATAAAATCCTGAGTCATTTTGGCATTGCCCTGTACTTTTTGTTCAGATGATAGGGTTAATCTCAGCTGACATTAGTCACCTAAGAGTTAGGAGTCTGTAGAGCTGAGCTAGAAGAATAGGCTCCCCATACAGTTGGTGGAGAGAGTTAAGCAACTCCAATGATTCGTCTCACCTAACTTAGACTGAACAGAGTCACTCCTGGGAGATGCCCGTTCTGTCGCTGTTGACTGTCGAGGACTCTGCCTAGACCCTTACCATGGCACCATATCTCGCTTTCAGGCAGTGGAACCCACCCTTCACTCGCAGGATCGACACTGAGGATAATTAATTATTCTGTTTCTTTCATTCCAAAGGCTGACTTTAAGAAGGCAGATTTCATCAATACCCGGACCACAAAAGCCTATAACTCACTAAAAGATTGAATAACACCACTGAAGACAAATGAGATCATACGTCAGTTAACGTAACTATCTTCACGCGGTTGGTGTTGAATCAGAAAGTATCTCAGAAAAAAGAGGCTGATTTTATATAGGACCTGAGTGACCAGAGGATAGCTGTTTTGTGTTTTTAATCCTAATCACCTTGTTGTCACTGTATATATCAATTTAAGAAGCTTATTTCAATATAAGAATAACCAAAGATGGATTCTTCAGGATGTCTGAGGTGAAGTTTCATCCAGGTTGACCACTAGTCAGAGCTTCAGATGACTGTCTTTAGTCTAACAGGCATTTTTACAGAGAGGTTTGAAATGCTGATTGGCAGCAAATTCTTTTCAGACTGTTTTATACAGATAGTTTTCTACAGTGGGTAAGCATCGAGTGCACTGCTCAGGACATAGTAATTTTTCACCCTTTTGTTTCTTCCCACCTGCTTATTAAGAATCTTCAGTCTCTGTGAGTATACACAAGAAGCTGTTTCACTACCTGCATTATAAAAGCACCAATGAAGTTAAAATGATTATTTTTTTATTGCTTGTATTCATGTGCTCACTGATTCTTAAGCCTCTTTACTTTGAGATTTCATCAGCAACAAAATTGATTTTACATAGGTCGTATCATCCTTTGCTCCTCTCATCCTCCCTCACATGGCTGTTGGAATTTATAACTGTGTCCAAAAAGGGTTTTAACTAGAACCACTATGTTTCAGACACTTTGGGCTGAACTTAGACTCATCATTTTTCCTAATTGGTGGAAGAGTTATTTGCTGGTGATTCAGTGATTATTGTAAGAAAATTGTGTTGTCGAAATGATTCTGTTGATACTCTATATATGGTAAAGGGTGTGGAGTCTTTATTTTTGAATAGATATACACACACGAGAGGTTAGACTCCATGCTGCTTAAAGAATTCATCTGATCCTGCTTCATATTCTCGTACTTGAAATCATCATCCTCCCTACAGCAATTACATGCAATGTGATAAGTGAAGGACTGTGTCTGCACATGTGGGAATAGGTAAGAAGAGGAGAAAAATTCCTAAGCACCTAAAGGCTGTTCCTATGATATGATCCTCAGAGAGGGAAAAGAAGCACTAAAAAAACTCCATCTGATAACCTTTAGTGAGATTTATCTCAACAAACCAGTAGTTAAATTGTCCATTAAACTGATAGGAAATTCATATATAAATATATAAATCTCTGTTGGATTGGATTATCGGATGATGTGACCTGGCATTACTCTTCTGAAATCAGGGGAACTAAGGTACATTTATGGCAACCAAGACTTTGGCATATGTATTGACAAGCCGTCCTACACAAATGGAGCCCGTCTGGTACCCCCACGCTGAACTGCTGGTGCAGGAGGTATTATTACAGCTGTTCTTATCCCGAAGGGGATACACAATCCTTCAAGTAGGGACCTCACAGAGGAGATTATCAGGTCTGTTCATTTCATCACTCATGGCCAAAGGTCTAGCTCCTACCAGAAACCTGCAACCAACGGATTGTGACATTGCACTGTGCCTAAACATATTTCTGGATATTGGGGGGCTAAATTCTGCTGGTAGGTGCATATAGTTCCCATAAGGTTCCCAGGAAGTCCTACACGTGCATGCGGAACAGAACATGTCCTGGGGAGTTAAGCAAACAATGCTGCTCTCCCATCACAGATCATTTTCATAGGTCTGTTAGTCCTCCACATTTGCTTTGAATAACTCAAATCAAATGCATTCCAGTAAAAGGTTTTAAAAATACTAGTGTTTTTTTAAGAGGTCGTTTTCAAAATACTCCAGGTCCAAAAACAACACGGGGGAAGGGAACTTACAGCACTGCATGTTGAGGAAATTGTTTTTATAATTTTTTAAAAATGTGATAGAAAACAGACAATTAAAATCTAACTTCTTCTTCTAACTTGTTAACCCAAGTAACACTGCGTATGCCATGAATGAATAAACACCAGGAAACCTGGACAAGTTTACTTTTACTGCCCAAAAAGTAGTGGTAGGCAAAATTAATATAAAAAAGAGGAAACCTAAATATAAAGTAGCGTGAGAATGAAGAGCTGCAGTCTAAAGATCAGGAAGGGGGCTTTTAGAAATACCCAAGTATTGGTTTAGCTCTGTGAAACTCACAAACTTAAAAATAAAAAAAAAAAAAAAAAGCCCAATGCTGGGCATTTTCAAATGCCATACTTAGTATATCTGACTCCCTGTAAGATGTCCTCAAGAATGGGGTGCAAACTTTTTGGGTTGTTTCTATTGATAGTGTCCCTTTAAAATCAAAGCAGTGTTCAGAAGTCACAAAGAAGAATATCAGACCTGGCAACAACTGAAAGCTATAAACAGGGATGAGAAACGACGACACACCCTATTACAACTGATCTCCTACTTGTATGCAATCAAAAACATTTCAGCAGG